CTTGCGGAACAAAATGAATGACATTTATGAGCACGTCAGACAATCGGGCCAGCAAATGCCCGAAAAGATGAAAACCCGGTATGACCGCAAAATGAATAACAAAGGGTTCGACGAAGGTTCACTAGTGTGGTTGCACAATCCAGTCCGCAGCAAAGGGAAATCTCCTAAGCTTCAAGCTAAATGGGACGGCCCGTACCGGATTGTGACCAGGATCAACGATGTAACCTACCGGATACAGAAAGGCGCAAGAGGGACTCCTAAGATCGTTCATGTGGATCGCCTGGCGCGTTATTATGGGGCCGATAATGCTCGGGACGAGCATGTCTTAGGAGGGGGCAGTGTTGCGCGCCTAAGTTGACATCTGCAAGATGCGAGCGGGAAAGTATTGAATTTGGCGAGACAAGCGAAGCTTCGGAGCGAAATAAAGTGAATCAGTTCGGTTAATTATTAGTATTTTAAATTTTAATTAGTGTAAAGTGAATTAAAGTGCTAATTTTGGTAATTCAATCGGCAGTTTTTATTGTCACGAACCTCAAGCTCGTAACACTAGGTTTTTCTTAGTCTGATGAAAATTATTTTAAGTTTGAAACCATTATATTTGTAAAACCGAGTTGCAGAAAAATTATATAAGTGAACGTAATGTATTGCGTTCATAAAAGTTAAATGAAGTTAAGTAAAAAGTAAGTTAAAAGACTTACGTAGGTGACTAGGTAGAATAATATTTTACTATTTGTAATGTTTTCATTGTGTAGGTGTCTCTGTCATGGCAAGTTGTTTGTTGGTCGCCCATTACTCTCCTAAGATCTAATTAAATATTTGCGAAATGGGAATTACATTGTAAGGAATTAATACATTAGTGAAAATTAACTGATATAGAATATAAAAAAATCGATCAAGTGAGTGATACTAACCTGCATAATGAGTGTTCCCTGCAAAGATTTCAAAGTCTATAACGGACATACGTAAAAACATTTTTTGTGTTTTATCATCATCATCATCATTACAGCCCTTCACAAGTCCACTGCTAAACATAGGCCTCCCCCAAGTAATGCCACAAAGCACGGTCCTGAGCCCCATCGACTTCCTGCATGTCTTACCAGGTCGTCACTCCATCTAGTGGGGGGTCACCCTACACTTCGCCTGTCGGTACGAGGCTGCCACTCGAGAACCTTTTTTCCCCATCGGTTATCGGTTCTTCGAGCTATATGGCCGGCCCATTGCCGCTTCAGCTTACTAATCCGTTGGTCTATGTCGGTTACTAAGTTACTATAGACACAGAATAAATTATAGTACTACGTACAGAAGTTGCACTCCTTTGATGTCAACTGCTTGCCGACGTTTAATAGCCTACATAATTATTATTAATCAGATAAATCGCGCACGCAAGCTAAATAAAAATGTATTGTTGCGCGTTAGTGTCCATATTACTTTGCATCTTTTCCGCTTCCTAAGTCATGGCGGATTTTCCGTGGTTATTAAGGGATGTCAATAGAAGCTAAAAAAATACATTGCGAAATATTAATTATGTTACTTAGGTGAAGTACCGATTCTGACTATAATCGAATGACCATACTTTCGCCCCTATGTGAGTATTGCGATGCCTAACAAATGCAAATTGCAAGGTCATTCGTCGGGAATCGCAACGCTTGGTTCTGAAGAAATAGGTAGATAGTGTGAACAACAAATAAACCTGAAATACGATTCCTAACAGAAATGTGATCTATTCTACTTACTTAAAAATCTTCTTAGTATACAAAGTTTTAATTTCAGTTTTTTGTGTTATTATAACTTAAAATATTTTAATTACAAAATACACTACAAAATACATGTATGTAAGTAAATGGATGGATAGTGAAGTAAATTTTAACTAATTTTTGTAATAAAGTACTTAGGTATTTATTCTGTAGACCAAATTATTACTTAATTCTTTTTTGCTGTAAGTACCTATGTAACAAAAAAAAATTAAATAAATTCACCTTTCATAATTTCCTTCTAAAATTCTTCGGTAACTTAAAGAATGATATGAAACCTTTTGTTGGTCATTTCATTTAGTATCCACCCACGCAACAATTATAGTAGGAACGACGTTTTGCTATTATAATTTATCAAATGGGTAATATACATAATATATAATTTTTAAAATACATTAAAACTTTTGCAACTATATTTACCTACAATTAAATATACTAAACACTAAACAAAAACTATTTCAACAAGTATTTACATAAAACTATTTACGTAAACAACGTTAAAAAACTTTAACATTGAATCGCCTACAACGCGCTAGCCCTGACGTTATTTCGCCCGGGCGCGTCGCGATTTTAGGTAATTATTTCACGCAGGTAGCAAGAGTGACAGAGGCCTGCTATAGAGGCATACAAAAATATTAAATTTAATTCAATGGCTCATTCAGTTTCTTATTATTAAGTAATTAATTACAAAATTTTGAAAGATACATACATAATACATAAATTTAATTAAAAGAAGACATTGTATAATTTGTTGTAATTAAGAAATTAAAAACGTCAATGATTATTTTCAATTTTCAAAATATCAAATGTCACATTCTATCATGACCATGACGCTATTAGCGTACAAATTCTTTAAAATATAAAAAAATATTATTAGAATTTAATGAAGTTAAATTATTAAAGAAAAATAATTATGTAATTATTTAAAAAATATTTTAGCGTCAAGTTTTTAAATTACAATAAATTCATGTCAAAAATTTAATTAGTTATAAATGTTTATGGATATAAATGTGAAATATCTATAAAAATTAAAAAAAATGTCAAATAATATTAAATATGTCAAAAAATAACTAATCAGTTTTTCCATATTTCACCATTATTGTAGATTAGTGCAGTTAGTCCCCCCCTACCTTCATTATTAGACAGTTTATAGAAATTGATCAGTCTGCACATCATGATCATGACTATAATAATATCGTAACCACTTTAATTTACCACGTGCTCGGCGGTGAAGGAAAAATATCGTGAGGAAACCTGCATGTCTGAGAAATCGAAAAAAAATATTTCAAAGACATGTGGAGTTCGCCCACACTCATTTGGGTAGCGCGGCGCACTATTCATTGCCCTAAAACCCTCTCAGAAATGAGAGGAGGCCTGTGCCCAGGAGTGGGACGTAAATAGGCTGTAACTTTAACTTTTTTTTAACTTAAACCTTTTTAACAAAGAGTTAGGTAGAGTTGTTAGGGAGCATCTTAATTTAACACTGAAGTTTTTTGTTACTCAATATCAATTTAATTGAGAAGTAAGTTTTAAATAAAAGTTTGTCAGTTTTTAAAACATTATAATACACAAAAAAAATGTCTCCGTGGTTTGTTATTAAATTTTTTTGCACAGTTTTAACTCTTTAAATTTCTCTACTTTTATGGATATTTATGGTTTGATTTATTTATTTTAAATCTAGTCAATGTAAAATATAACTAATAGTACAGAAATAAACGTTTATCTTTACATTTTCCGAACAAATTAACTTCCTTGCTATGAAATCTGTCAAATATTACACCTGATTTTTAACTGGCGATGAGTGATTTTTTTAAATGTGCAAGAACGTGACGTCACTGCGTTATTTGAATGCTCTCTAAAGCTATCGTTCGCTCGTATCATATTAACACATTCAGTGCCACCGACTCGCCCGGAGAGTTCACGTAAATCTTATTCCAGTGCCGACGACTCGTCTGGCGAGTTCAGTGTTTTTCACTAATATTTCCAAAATGCATCCGTATTTTCTGCTTAAAATTATAGTTTAGACTAAATATATGCTAAACTAAAGATTTACGTGGTGGGCCGGGTGTGGAGACCCCGTTTAAATTTGAAGGGAAACAAACTATTCTGCAATGCCTTGAACTCGCTAGGCGAGTTCCCTGACATAGATCCTCAGCCTTTGACATGTTAGACAACGACGTGAACATAGTAGCATGGACTACCTACATACTTGTGATATGGAACTAATATACAACAAACTAGTTTCATTGGAATAATTAGGATCGTGCCAAATGTAAGTCCGTAGTCTCTGCCTACCTCTCTGGGTGACAGGCGTGAGTGTTTATGTGTTACTTATCGAAAGTCACTCTTGTTTGATTACGTATTGATATACCACCAGTTTGGAATAAAGCCTCTGTCCTAGGAAGAACTATCAAGACATTATTTTTTTTAAAACAAGCTTTAGAAATACAAAGTTATCGTAATATTTGAGATAACATATCTAGCAGCCATATTATAAATCTTGTATCTTTGTAATAGGGTTGAAAATAAATAAAAAAAGGGACAACTAAAGCTAAAATAGTCACTTAAATCGTGCAGCAGATTACTAAGGCCGACCCAAAATAATACATTTTAATCTGATACCATATTCTTAAAACTGAAAGCCCGTATTAAATTATTTCGGGGTAAAATTATCTATTCATAAGTATTAGAAATTCAAAATATAACCTTAACAATAACCACAATTTAAAAGGTTGAAAACCACTGCTCAAATTACGAAACAAACTTACTTTTTATTTTATCCAAAGAGTTTTTTTGCCATTTTTACAAGCCGAATAGTCCGGAAACACTTTTTAATTGCGTAAACACGTTAAGTACACTGTGACGGCCACAAAAATGACAAAACATAGAATTTACCCTTACGTAGTGCCAGTGAACTCGGTGGAGTCATCAATTTATATTGCAGTGCCGGCGACTCGCCTGGCGAGTCAAGCGTAAAATGTAGTATGAAATGAAAAAAAAATGAAGAGTAGGCGGAATACGAGAAGACATCATGAAAATCGTAGGGGTGATGAATGTGTTAAAGAATGTTAGTTTGCGTTCATATGCTTTAGATTATTTCTAACGTTTATCGATATATTTATTTATGCACGTAGCACACATAAAAATAATCGAAATTGTCGTTTTAACAGTAGACATAAATTGGAATTGGGCAATGGGCCTCACCTTTCGTAGGAAGAAATTATAATTATTCGCTTTCGTTTCTAACAGGTATCCATACAACCAATCGGGAGCTCAAGGAGTTGATGTGTTCTAAAAATGACCCGGTGGAGAAAATGAGACGAATATTCGAACAGCAGTTACTTCGTCGCCATCCGCCCGTCTTCCAGGAGTGGTTCAGACGTGTATTCTCTGATCCTTACGGATGGTATGTTAATGAGAATTGAGCTGTATGATGTATTGTTGTGTGAATTTTATTTTAATTTAATAATTGAAACTAACCATGTCTGTAGTGTGTGCGTGATGCTAATGATACATGAACGACATGTTTGTGTGTGCTTAGGGAGTCTTAATCAAATATTGTTTATGTTTAGAGAAAAAATATTTCTATAAAATGTTAGGAAATGTGTAGTATTAAGCATTTAGTATTTTATTTTTTACTTTAAATAAAATTTTATTTACAAAACTTGCGCTCCAAATGGCAATCACCACCAGAGCCTACCGCTTTCTAACTACTTCACTTAACCTTACTACTATGTACTAACTTAGAAGTTTATGACGTTGTTGTATACAAGTGCGACAGAAAGGGACAAAATACTTGCAGTCGTAACGTAACATTGGTCCCCTTCAATATTTTCTATCATTTATGTGTTGCATTTTTCATAACTAGCAGTTAGTATAATTTTAAGGGTAATCTATGGTATTCATTTTGCTTTTATTTGCAGGTATCAAGCGAGATCAGCATACATACGTACAACAGCGGTTATGTCAATGGTTGGGTATATATTGGGTTAGTATACTTTTGGCGTGTAGAGGCGGTGTAAGGGAACCCTCTTCCCCATATCATCCCGGGAGTGTCAAACAGAAAATGGGTAGCAGCATATCTTCTCCGTTCGATAATCAAAATGATCTTACGAAGACAGACCCTCGTAGAAAAGCAATTAACTACACACAAGTTTATCGTGGATAGATAAAATTAGAAACCAAGCTATTATATAATCATATTTCATAAACAAAACCAACACGTTTGTATTTAACAACTTGACAAGCAAAACATTATGGATTTTAAATCACTAAATATTAGCTTACTTCGATTTTACACGTGCTATAGCCAGTTGTGGCTATATTATGGTTGCAGCACGAATGATTCGGCTCAACCGGGGTAGGGCCACGATCTCACAGAATACCAGCGTAAAATAGCATTTTAATGCTGCTGTATTTCGTGGTGAGTGTGGACAACCGGAGACCCTTTTTAATGCAAACGAGGCATTCCATCTTTGTCCTCACGGGTAACAATGCATCAACATTTTACTTCATAATTAGATATTCGCTACTTACTTCAAGAGAACTTTTTTAATGAACAATTAAAAATTAATTATCCATTCTGTATAATCGCGAGTGGGTGGCCAAAACTGGCTTTGTACAACGTGTGCAAACAATGTATACGGTGAAAGGACTGCTTTGTGAACCAATCCTAGATTAATTAATCTACTATTCACCTACGGGACAATATAACATAAAACCAAAAACTCTTCATAAATAACATAAATTGTTGATATTCCAAATATATCAACTTACAAAGAAAGTAATTTTATACACGGTAGAACAGCTATATTATGGTTGTAGCAGAAATATGTCGGCTCAACCGGGGTAGGCCACGCTCTTACAGTGGAGCTTACCTTCAGGTCGACTGTGCTTGTTTGGTTATGGCTAATCTATTTGTTATGCGTGTAAAAAAATTATATAATATATATTTAACACTCCTTACAAACATCATGAAGACTTAAAATACAATAACTTGACTATAAACCTTAGTAGTTTCCAAGATGTAATCATCTGTTTTTGTATTGTAATTGTAAATATTTACATTTTAAAAGCATAAACTGATAGAAATGAAGGTTCTCGAAGCGGATTTGTATAGGTAAAATAGTGGGTGTTTATGCCTCATTAAATTGAATGACGAACTTATGATGCATACAGCGATGGATGAATGTAAATGTGGTAGAGCCAACAGTGGTAGAGCCACGCGGCAGCTTTGCTGTTGCACGTATGGGCCGGCTCAAACCGGGGTGGTACCAAGACCTCACAGAATACCGGCGTGAAGTTGAAGCTCTGCTTCCGCGTTTCGTCTGGTGAGTGCAGGTGGCCGGAGGCCCAAATCCCCCCCCCCTCATCAACATGGTAGCGCAATTAAATGATGATAGACTACCCCAGGAGGGTACCAGCACCCCTGGAGAATCCCTCGCTGAGCATCCACAACCATATTTCTCCACTCCTGAGCGTGGGTGCTCAGGCTGCCCCGCGTATTCTGGGGGGAGGGGGCAAATTCCGCTCATGACTACAACTGCTTGAGGCAAACGGAGCAACAAGACCAAGGCGACCCCTGCCACGCTATCCGTGAATTTCTGCAATATCAGGGGACTTCACTCTAACCTAAACGCCGTCCACTACCATCTCGAGACGGCGAGGCCGGCTCTGCTCTTTCTGACCGAGACGCAGGTGTCCTCTCCGGCTGATGTCTCGTATCTCCCGCCCGGGGTGCAAACTGGAACACTCCTTTGTGCCGCGGGCTGGAGTTTACGTTTACGTCAGAGAGGACATCTGTTCTCGACGCCTCGGCAGTCTTGAAGGTTCGGACCTGTCCATCCTTTGGCTACGCGTAGAGAGCGACGACCATCCGCGCGTCTACGGGTGCCTCTATAGGTCCCATAGCGGTAATGCCGAAACAGACCGACTCTTCGACCACGTCCAAATGGCTACAGATTCGTTGCTACGGCAGATCCCCTCCGCAGAGATCGTGATCCTCGGCGACTTTAACGCCCATCACGCCGAATGGCTTGGTTCACGTTTAACCGATCATGCGGGGAGATCTGTTCATGATTTTGCCTTGGCATATGATCTGACACAACTGGTTACTTCGCTTACGCGGATTCCAGATGTGGAGGATCATGTACCTTCCTTGTTGGACCTTCTGCTGACCTCTCACCCGGACGGATATCAGATTTCCGTCGACGCTCCTTTAGGCTCCGGACCATTGTCTTGTCCGGAGTGTGGTGCCACTCACGCTGAAATCGCAGTTGCATTCTGCCGGCTACCGCCGCGTTTGGCACTATAGGTCAGCCGATTGGAATGGGATGCGGTTTTTCTTTGCATCCTACCCTTGGGGGTGGGTTTGCTTCTCGCCGGAAGATCCCAACGTTGTTGCGGATTCTGTCGCTGATGTGGTACTTCAGGGTATGGAACTTTTTATTCCTTCCTCTGTGGTGCCCATTGGAGGCAAATCTCAGCCATGGTTTGGTCGCTCCTGTAAAATAGCATCATGCTATTAGCAGGAGTGCTACCAAGCCTGGGCTGACGCATCAGCGTCCCGGGATGTAAACACCAGCGCTCTAAAAAAGAAGTATAATTCCGCCTCTAGGTCCTTCAAAAGTGTCATTGCCAAGGCAAAGTCAGAGCACATAGGCAGAATTGGCGAGAAACTAGTTCGCCTTCCTTCTGGAACCCGTGCATTTTGGTCTCTTGCCAAGGCTGTCCAGGGGAATTTCTGTCAGCCATCTCTTCCATCTCTGCACAGGGAGGACGACTCACTGGCCCATACCGCAAAGGAGAAAGCCGATCTTCTAGGCTCTTTCTTTGCGTCCAACTCGACTCTAGATGACTGGGGAGTGCGCCGCCAACCATCCCGCGGTGTGAGTGCTCCATGCCGGAAGTGCAGTTCAGGCAGCGCTCGGTTCGCAAAGCACTTCTCTCCCTGGACATACACAAGTCGAGTGGGCCTGAAGGAATCCCCTCAATTGTGCTGAGGACGTGTGCTCCAGAGTTGGCACCAGTTTTAACACGTCTTTTCCGGTACTCCTACTCCCTAGGCCCATTGCGAAGGCCTTCGATCGGGTTTGGTACAAAGCGCTTCTTTCGAAGCTCCCTTCCTATGGGCGTCCCGAGAAATTTTGCACCAGCTTTCTTGCAGATTGGAGCATCAAGGTCGTTGTAGACAGTGCAAGCTCCGATTACGAGCCTATTAATGCTGGTGTTCCATAAGGCTGCGTACTATCACCAACGCCGTTTCTTCTGCATATCATTGATATGCTGCAAACCGGCAACATTCATTGCTATGCAGATGATAGAGCAGTGGTGATGCTCTGTACACCGGCCGTGCCAATATTTCTCGGGAAAACGTCTCCGAGTACCGGGATATACTTATGTCTGAAATCGAGTCTCTGCTGAACAGAGTTTCGGATTGGAGGCGACTAAATCTAGTCCAGTTTAACCCCCAGAAGACGCAAGTTTGCGCGTTAACCGCTAAAAAGAACCCTTTTGTCATATCTCCTCAGTTTCAAGGCACTCCCCTTGTTGCCTCAGCCAGTATCGGAATCCTCGGGTCGACATATCGAGTGACGTGCAGTTTCGTGGTCACTTGGAAGAGAAGGCCAAATTGGCCTCTAAAAAAGCTTGGCGTGCTCAGCAGAGCGGGACAGTATTTCATGCCGGTACACCGCCTGCAACTTTACAAGGCGCAGGTTCGGCCGCACATGGAATACTGTTCCCATCTCTGTGCTGGGGCTCCTCAGTACCAGCTCCTTCCACTTGACCGCATCCAGCGTAGAGCGGCTCGAATCGTCGACGACCGAGTGCTTTCCGATCGGCTCGATTCACTGGCACTGCGAAGAGATGTTGCATCTCTTTGCGTTTTCTTTCGCATATACCATGGAGAGTGCTCTGACGAATTGTTCGGATTAATCCCAGCCGCCAAATTTCGTGAACGCACTACGCGGCTAACGTCCCGATACCATCCATACCATCTGGATGCTTGGCGGTTCACCACTGTACGTTTCAAGAGGAGTTTTCTTCCGCGTACAACCTCTCTGTGGAATAATTTACCACCGGCGGTTTTTTCCGGACCAATACGACCTGGGGACCTTCAAGAAAGGAGCGTACTCCTTTCTAAAGGGCCGGCAACGCACCTGCAATTCCCCTGGTGTTGCGGTTGATTCATGGGCGTCGGTAGTCACTTAACATCAGGTGAGCCGCATGCTCGTTTGCCGCCTCTTCTATAAAAAAAAAAATGACTCACGATTGTGTAAAGGGGTTTCGGGGGCAATAAATCGATCTAGATAGGCTTTATTTTTAGAAAATGTCATTTTATCAGTGTTTTCAAACAATGAAAGACTGCTACAATATCGTCAGAATAAGAAGGTAGCATTAACGATTATGATAGCTCAAATGGGATATCGGGTGACCCCGATATTGTAGCACCCTAGTTCTTTTTCGAGAAATTACATTATATCGAGCCCTTCTTTTAGTGTTTTTTTAAAAGCACGAAAATTTAAATTATACTAATTGCACTCATGATTTTTTATTAAATAACTAGTTCAATTCTTCTTACGTTGGTAAGATCAAAAAATATTATTCAAATTTCGTCAGTATGTAATTTGTAATCTATATATAATTTCCAAAACACATGATTTCAAAAATCATCCAGGTAATCATCCAGGTACTGTACTTTAAGCTACAGCCATTGAAGTAAAGTGTACTTTGTGTGGACTTTGATAGGCCGATGATAATGATCATGTTCAGTAGCAGCAGTTCTCATAATTATAGTTCATCTCATAATTATAGCTTTCAAGGTGATAATAATAATTATTAATCCATATTGATAAATTTGCGCTTGGTAACCAATCGTGGCGATTACGGCAAATCTAAACAATGGTGCGGGCTCTTATCCTAAATAGTAAGAACAGAGATAAAGAAACAAATAGAATTTTTATGGTCATTTAAAAGAACCGTGTTTATTATTTCCAATTTTCAATACAGGCTTAGGTGATCGACACGGCGAGAATATTTCCTTCGATACTACAAATGGAGATACAGTGCACGTGGACTTCAATTGCTTATTTAACAAAGGAGAGTCTTTCGAATGGCCGGAGAGGGTTCCGTTCAGACTGACACACAATATGGAGGCGGCTATGGGGCCGCTTAAGCACGAGGGCATGTTCAGGTACTGTAAAATTTACAGTATTCAAAAATGAAGATGAAATCTTTTTATTTAGTTTTATGTATTAATACTATCTTATAATTTTGACTATGATCATCGTCATTACAGCCCTTCACAAGTTCACTGTTGAACATAGGCCTCTCCCAAGGAATGCCATAAAGCACGGTCCTGAGCCACCTGCATCCATCGACTTCCTGCATGTCTTACCAGGTCTTCATTCCATCTAGTGGAGGGTCGCCCTACACTATGCCTACCGGTACGAGGCTGCCACTCAAAAACCTTTTCCCCATCGGTTGTCGGTTCTTCGAGCTATATGGCCGGCTCATTGCCGTTTCAGCTTACTAATCCGTTGGGCTATGTCGGTCACTCTGGTTCTACTGCGAATATCCTCATTTCTAAGTTTATCACGTAGAGAAACCCCGAGCATAGCCCTCTCCATAACTCAAACAAACAAATCTCTAACAAGTGGAAGTTAACAATGATTCAGAATCTGAATATCAGATCCAGTTTCGAGAACGAAAAAACTTAAAAATATTTTTTATCTTATTTCGTTTGCCTTCTCAAGGTAAAAATGTAAGGTAACAGCCCATATGTACTTCATTTCTAGGCTGGCCTCTTACTTCTGAGAGGTTTTTGAAGCAGGCAATAGTTCGTCTCGTTATCCGACATCACATATCTTCGTATTATTGTTAATTTCTATGATGGCGCTGTCGGTTGAAAGATTAGTGATGTCATTTTCTGGAAAGCTCTCCCCTCGCTCCGTTACCCGACACTAGATGACGCTAGTGCCAGATGTCAACTTAGCCGCGCAACAATATTATAAGACGATAATATAAATATAGGTATTATCGTCGAAGTTTTGTCTTTCCTGGAATAGTGGTTTTGGGAGTAGTGGTGTTGGGAGTACTGGTGCTGGGATTGGTGGTGACGGGATCGGTGTACGCAATTGAGGGAGGGCGGGAATTGCTCTTCAATCCAGGTAAGACACATCATTGTATTTAGTTAGCGGATGGTTGCAAATTAATATCTTTATTATTATTTACATATATTAATTGCACATTGACAAACAACAGACCCGGAATAATTTTTTATAGGAAATATTAACACTTGTTCTCGAAGGATACATTACTGCAGCAACGCAGTTCCAAAGCCAAATGTTCAACTACTGCTGGGGATCAAACTCAATTAGCTGGCGTTCTATGAAATATTAAGGCGGACACTTATCCCTTGAATTACCACGGCTGGCTTAACAATACAATAAAAATTTTTGTTTTAGAAAGTGCTGTGAGGCAGTGATGCGAGCTTTAGGCGCTCAAACTGCGGCTTTGATGTCGGTGGTGGGTCCGTTCGTGTACGATCCGCTTGTGTCGTGGGGGCGGGGCCGGGTGCCAGACTGCGCCGAGCGCACCAATGCGGAAGCACTGCAGCACCTGCGTCACATACGACAGCGCCTCAACGGCATGGTCAGTACGCAACCTTACAGCGCTGTTCATCATCAGAGACGATGCACTGCACAACGACACGGAAGGCATTCCAACACCTACATCACATACGACAGCGCCTCAATTGCATGGTCAGTACTACCCGTGCGGTTAAAGAATGGGATTGAAAATGGCGTCGCCTCTATTCACCTCTCGCTCACATACTGTCGCTATCTATACTCACCTTTAAACCTTTTTACCCGCCGGTAAATATTGCAAAAAAAATACGTTGCGATATGCGTTTTTGTACGTTCTGTAACTTCAGTCCAACTTGTCATTGGAAACAATCATAACAGCATGTCATAACCTACAAAAAATAAATTCAGTCCGGTTTTGCTAATTTGCGAGATACGACGCGTTCTGAGAGTTTTTTTCTTAATTAATGTTGATTTTGTTAGTTAATATTTTTGTATAAAATATTTATATGCTATTGCGACGTGAAAATTTTAAAAATGGTTATAATTTTAAAATTTTGCTTTGTCTGCCTTTCCGAGCTAATCTTCGGACTGGTCGCACCTAATAAAACTTCACGAACAAATAGACTAATACCATAAGTGATCTGGACTAAATTTTATTCGAAAAATTTAAAGACTTTATCAAAATAGAAATATTGATAAGATAAAACAAATGCTGTTCAATGATTATCTCTTTAATTCGATTCCTCATGGTGCGAAATGGGGTGGTATATTTAACGCCGCTACCACGGCGTGGAGCCGAGTCTGTGGTATCGGCTTGTCGCTCATTTAGCACCACCCGGGGGACACGTGTAGGGTGGGCCTAGGAACAGGTGGTCAAAGCCTACGGAAGAATCTGATTAGAAATGGCTTGGGACAGAGTACCAATATCGAAAACCCGCTAATATCATTATGTTGATATAACGTTATATTATTCGGTTAATTGGAAATTTTCTATTAATAGGAAAATATTTGAAAAGAATTGTATATGCAAGTGCGGACATTAATTTTAAAATAACATTTAAAACTAGCGACCCGCTCTGACTTCGCCTGGGTGTTATCTATTAATGAAGCGTTATTTAGACTTTAGATAATGCATATAAACATAAACACTCACGCCTGTCACCCAGAGGGGTAGGCAGAGACTACAGATTTCCATTTGGCACGATCCTGACACACCTCTCTCGCCTCCTTCACATCCATACACCTACGCATACATGCTCGTCGGTTAAGGGTACTCCTAATTTGTCCCGTTTTCAATAAATCGCCAATTTGGTCGATACATTTTCGCCTAGGACGTCCCTTTCCGACTCTGCCTCATTCATTCTTTCCACATGACCAAATCACCGAAGCATTCCTTTCTTAATCCTGGTCACAACATCATCTTGCAAACCACACTCTTCTCTTATTACACAATTTCTTACCCTGTCGTTCAGATTCAGCCCTAACATACTCCTTAACGACCGCATTTCTACTGCGTTGATTCTAATCTCTTGCTTCTTCTGCCACACCCAACTTTCACTACCATACGTTAAAGTAGGGACCAACACAGCATTGTGAATTGCCATACGTGCCTTTTTCGACACATTTTGACTCTTCACAATAGAGCGCAGGGCCCCATTTACGCTATTTCCCGCATTCACTCGTCGTTCTATATCCTTATCATATTGTTACGAGCTTGAGGTTCGTGACAATAAAAATTGCCGATAAAATTACCTAAATTAACACTTTAATTTACTTTACACAATTAGAGTTAAAACACTAATAATTTAAACACACTAATTCACTTAATTCCACTCCGAAGCTTCGCTTGTTTCGCCCAAATCAACACTGCCTCGATCGCATCTTGCAGCGCCTATATATTTGAATTAGCAAAGAAATATCCAGAATGTTCAAGTAAACACGCGGAAGGTACCGAGCGTTCGAGTTTCGACTAGGCGCTGTCAGTTGAGCGATTTGTGATGTCATTTTCTCAATGCTCCCCTCGCTCTCGTTCCTGAAACTAGATGGCGCTAGTTGACTTATTCATGCAACACTGCCCCCTCCTAAGACATGCTCGTCCCGAGCATTATCGGTCCCATAATAACGCGCCAAGCGATCCACATGGACGATCTTAGGAGTCCCTCTTACGCCTTTCTGTATCCGGTAGGTCACATCGTTGATCCTGGTTACAATCCGGTACGGGCCGTCCCATTTAGCTTGAAGCTTAGGAGATTTCCCTTTGCTGCGGACTGGATTGTGCAACCACACAAGTGAACCTTCGTCGAAACCTTTGTTGTTCATTTTGCGGTCATACCGGGTTTTCATCTTTTCAGACATTTGCTGGCCCGATTGTCTGACGTGCTCATAAACGTCATTCATTTTTTTCCGCAAGTCATTTGCATAATCGATTATACTGCGTGGAGCATCGGGTGGTATCCCGGTGATCAGGTCTGCAGGCAGCCGTAATTCTCTTCCAAAGTTTGCGAAAGCTGGTGTCACTGCTGTACTTTCGTGAACAGAACTTCGATATGACAACAAAAACGGTTGTATGTGCTTGTCCCAATCTCGTTGCCGATTGTCTACAACTTTTGCTAGGTACCTCTCCAATGTCTGATTAAATCGTTCCACCATTCCATCAGATTGCGGGTGATAAGAAGTCGTTCTTGTTTTATGAGTACCCATAACTCGGCAAGTTTCCTGGAATATTTGAGACTCAAAATTCCGTCCTTGATCGCTGTGAATCTCTAAAGGTACTCCAAAACGACAGAAGACTTCATAAACTAGTTTATCTGCAACTGTTGAAGCTTCTTGATTTGGAATGGCGAAGACTTCTGGCCACTTAGTGAAGTAATCCATCACAACCATGAAATACTTGTTACCGCTTTCACTCTCCGGAAACGGCCCCGCCACGTCAATGGCTATTCTCTCCCATGGTGCACCAACATTGTACAACTTCAATGCACCTCTACTACGAGTCTGAGGTCCCTTTACAGCCGCACAACTTGTACATTTGCGACACCAGTCCTCGACATCGTTTCGACAGTGGACCCAGTAAAACCGTTCTCGGATCTTCAGTAGAGTTCGTTTAACTCCCAGATGGCCTCCTGAACAATCATTATGATACAGCTGTAGAACATCCGGTACTTTAACTTTAGGGACAACCATTTGCAAATGACAGCTGTCTCCCCGAACGTTTTCCCATTTACGACACAGAACTCCATCCTGAAGCAGCAAGCTGTCCCACTGGGCCCAATAGCTTTTAGTGGTCGAACTCATCGCTGAGACATCACTCCACTTGGGCTTGGGAGCACTGGCCTTTATCCATTCCAGAATCGGCTTGATGTCCGGATCTTCCTGCTGTGCATGTAGTAAGCTGTCCTTCCACTCGTTGCTGAGGTGGTCTGCCCTGAGCATCCTCGCGGATACCACTTCCTTACTCTCTTGCCTAGTATAATGTTTGCAATCTTCAGGACAAGGTCTTCTTGACAATGCATCTGCATTGCCACGAGATTTCCCGCTGCGATGTTCGATCTCAAAGTCGTATTCCTGCAGTAGTTCAATCCACCTCGCAACTTGTCCTTCTGGGTTTTTAAACTGCAATAGCCATTTTAGTGCAGCATGGTCAGTTCGTAAGTGAAATTTTCGTCCCAGAAGATATTTGCTAAAATGTTGCAACGACTTTACCACAGCTAGCAATTCGCGTCTTGTGACACCGGTTCCTTTCCTAGTTCCTTTCCGGTTTTGACAACGACTTGCTGAAGTACGCTATCACGACCTCTTGGTCACCATTCCGTTGAGACAACACACCGCCGAGTCCTATATCACTTGCGTCTGTGTCAACTATAAATTCTTTGCTTGCATCAGGGTATCCCAAAATAGGTGTTTTGCACAGACGGTCCTTGAGCTCCTGGAATGCGATATTGCAACTTTCATCCCAGCAGAACTGTCGCTTCTCCTCGGTTAGCTTGTGCAGAGGTTTGGCTATATCTGCAAAGTTCTTCACGAATCGCCGGTAATAGGAGCACAAACCCAAAAATGCTCTAACCTGCGTCTTGTCTTTTGGAACCGGCCAATCCTTGACAGCGGCGATTTTCTCTGGATCTGTGCGGATACCTTCTTCCGATACTACAAACCCCAAAAAGTTAACTTGCCGTTGAAATAGTGAACATTTCTTCGGGCTCAACTTGAGGTTGGCACTCTGAATCTTCATGAGCACGCGTTCCAGGTTTTGAAGGTGTTCCTCAAACGTACGGCTCACGATGATGATGTCATCCAAGTAGACCAGACAGGCATCGCCAATTAGCCCGGTAAGTACAAGTTCCATCAGCCTTTCAAACGTTGCTGGAGCATTGCACAACCCAAACGGCATTACTTTGAATTGCCACAGACCCTTTCCCGTCGAGAACGCAGTTTTCTCCTTGTCCTTAGGGTCAATTTCAACTTGCCAGTAGCCACTTTTTAGATCCAGCGTGCTAAACTATTTTACTCCTGTAAGCATGTCCAGCGTGTCATCAATTCTTGGCAAGGGATAGCTGTCCTTCTTTGTAACGTCGTTCAGACGGCGGTAATCAACACAGAACCGCATGCTGCCATCCTTCTTTTTCACCAGCACCACTGGTGAACACCATGGACTAGAGGAAGGTTCAATAACACCATCCTTCACCATTCCTTCAATCATGGTTTCCACTTCCTTTTCACGTGCTACCGGCAATCTTCTTGGCCGCTGACGGATAGGCAATTCCTCTCCTGTGTTTATTTTGTGTTGAACTAGGCCAGTCTTTCCTATGTCAGCATCATTTGATGAGAATACATCGGCGTACTTGAGTAACAACTTCTTCGCCTTGACCAATTCGTTCGGGGACAGAACACTGCGACAGTCTTCCAAAAGTGTGGTCACTCTCGTTTCTGAATCCTTGCTGGGGGTCCCACTCGATATATATATTGGCACTGACGTAACCAATCCACTTCCTCACAAGTACCAACCAGTGTGCCTTTTTCTATAATCTGTTCCCGGTCGCAAAGGTTCAGCACACGTACTCCTGAGATGTCAGTGGTCCTGACCAAGGTTCGAGCTACTTTCCATGGAAGGTCATTGTTTACCCTTTCCACAAGTACACAACGGTGAGCTTGCCCAGCGTTTCGAGGTAGACTAACCGGAACAATCGTTTCCGATCTCGGCGGAAGAACAATCTTCTTGATGCTGTACACGTTCCCTGGTAACGCACCTTCCATAAAAAGTTCCTCCTGTCCACATTTCAAAACACCTTGCTTAACGTCGATCTCACAACAATTATTCCTCATAAAGTCTAGGCCTAAGATGCAGTCGTCCATTATATCAGCCACGATGACATTATGCAGGTAGATCACGTTGCCTAGCTTCAACTCCATCTCCTTCTCTCCACGGACGGGTATACGCTGACCGGTGGCTGTTACCCAATTAAGGTGTTCTCGGTTGTATGCGGAGTCCCCAAGGAACTGACTTATAAGTTGGGAACTAACAACCGTACGAGAGGCTCCAGTGTCTATGGTCAGCTTACACGGCATTCCGTTGATCTCGCCCTTTATGATTAGGCTGTTCCCATCATGGGTTTGTGAGATCGAGATCCTTGGGGCTCTTTTAACATCAGCCAGCACCCGCCCCGCAGTTCTGGCTTTTACTCGTTTCCCTGCCGCTGCTGGGCGGTGCTGTTGGCCGCACTACCCTCCTGAGATCGTTCAATTTCCCTTTCTAGGGTTCGCTTAGGGCAGCTGGATCGAAGATGGCCCTTTTCCCCACAGCCATAGCACCTTGGGCTGTATCCTTTGTTGCGGTCGCGAACTGTAGCTGCTGCAACCTCCCTGACGCGATGGGAACGATGATCCTGCCGCACGGCTTCCACTTCCAGTGCATGGGCCAAGGCGTCCTTAAGCGTCTCGTGGTGCCCGAGCCTCACAGCAGCTCTGACTTCCAGGTCGCGGATGCCGTCGATGAATGTCTGCACCAGGTTCCCTTCAATGAGCGCAGGTACAGACCGGTATGCTTTTCGCACCAGCTTCTCCACTTCTAGAGCCCACTGCTGCAGGTTTTCGTTGATGCGCTGCACACGATCTTTAAGCTGCGCACGAAAGACGTGTTCCAGGTGAGCGTCGCCATATCTCGCCTCCAATGCCTCAAGGAGTTGCTCATAAGTCACTTCCTCACCGAGAGCTTCCAGAACTGTTAAGGCCTGGTCGCGCAGGCCTAGTGTGAGAGCAGTCATGGCCTGATTTTTATTCCAGCCGTTCGCCTTCATAACAGCCTCGAACTGGATTTTGTAGGCTGACCAGGAAGAAGTCCCGTCGAATGGTGGCACCTTGAACCCACGTAGCGAAGGTGTAGTAGCTACTACGGGAACTGAAGTTCCCTCGCCAAGTTTGAGTTCGTCAAGTGATTTCCTCATGTCAGCCATTACGTTGTCAACCCGATTGTTCACTAGGTCAATTCGGGTTTCAGCTTCCGACAGGCGGTTTTCATGTTGAGCAACCTTATCTTTCACCTCCCTTATCTCTTTCCCGAAGGTAGCGTGAAGGTCCTTCATGAGAAGCATCTGTTCCTCCTGTCGGCGGGCCTGTTCCTCTTGTCCGCTCTGCAGCTGCTCTTTCAACTGACGGACCTGTTCCTCCTGTCGGCGAGCCTGTTCCTGCAGCATCACCATCAGAGCACCTAAATCGGGTGCTGCAGATGGAGGAGCTACTGACGGGCCTGCAGCCGGCGGCTGGCCCTCCGACGTCAGCGGCGTTGCACCACCAAATCTTCTTTGGTCCGTCTCCTGCTGGCGTTGATTTCGGGTACGGACACCCTCCGTTTCCTCCTTAGGTAAAATCGGCATGATTTTATCCCACTTCTGACACCAATTGTTACGAGCTTGAGGTTCGTGACAATAAAAATTGCCGATAAAATTACCTAAATTAACACTTTAATTTACTTTACACAATTAGAGTTAAAACACTAATAATTTAAACACACTAATTCACTTAATTCCACTCCGAAGCTTCGCTTGTTTCGCCCAAATCAACACTGCCTCGATCGCATCTTGCAGCGCCTATATATTTGAATTAGCAAAGAAATATCCAGAATGTTCAAGTAAACACGCGGAAGGTACCGAGCGTTCGAGTTTCGACTAGGCGCTGTCAGTTGAGCGATTTGTGATGTCATTTTCTCAATGCTCCCCTCGCTCTCGTTCCTGACACTAGATGGCGCTAGTTGACTTATTCATGCAACAATATCTCCCATCCCTGCTAAGTACGCAGCCCAAATATACAAACTCATCTACTTGCTCGATCAACTGATCAAATGATATGATTATATAAATTTAATTTTATTTAACAGAATTGTTGGAGTTATTTATATAATATTTTTCGTATTACAAATTCTCAATATGCGTCTTTTTCAGGTAAAAACAAAGAACAAACAATTATCCCTGTCTTTATCCCCGGAGGGTCAAGTTGAACACCTTATCGTCGAAGCAACCAGTATTCATAACCTTTGTCAAATGTATATCGGATGGGGACCATTCCTATAAATGACAAGATATTTGTTTAATACCACTGAGATATGATGGAATTGACATAGATATGGAAAAAGCAGTATTGATTAGAAACAACCCCGAATTGTTACTTTATATTTTTTTAGTAATATTTTTGTAGTTTTATAAGTCAAGTATTTGTATTTTTGTAAGTGAAATATAAATATACGCATTATTAGAACTAAGCGCGTTTTAATTTAAATTTATTCTTTATTAAAACCAAGACAAGAAAGCATTATTACAAATATGTTATTATGATAATATAAACAAATAAATGACAGCTTTTCTGTTAATGTAAGAAAATTAATTTTTTTTTATAATAAAGAAAACCTTTTTTAAAGAATGAGAATAGCAAAATATATTATTTATCATCCTTAGAAAAGTCATTTTTTTGCAGTACAATTTTAATAATTTACCAAAATATATTTTTATTTACCATTTTTTATAATCGTTTTTTCGTAATAGGCGGTTTTTTACTTTGTTTACCACTTAAGAAGCTAATTTCTCTATCGGTTGTCGATTGTTTGAGTTATTTTTAAATATGCTAAGTTTATGTTTATGATAATTTTATAATATAAATGAGCCAATATTGTAGGTTAACTAACATCAAACTAATTACGCTCATTCCTTGGTTGTTTGATGAGGATCAGCTGCACCATTACTTTTAACTCTTCGATAATAACCTTAGTGTTTGGTCTTCCTGAGATTTATTCTTCAAGTCGACTTTTTGATACTTTATATTGAAATAGTGAAAAAACGTGGTAGAGCCAAGCTACAGCTATATTGTGGTAATAGCACGAACGGATAGGCTCGAATGCGAATAAAAAGAACCCGAGACTCTATTTACTGGAAACGAGGCATTCCATCTTAGTCATCAGTCATCAGGGGTGACAACGCAATGGCATTTTGATATGGGCAGTTCATTGAATCCAAGGCCAAAGGAGCTGCAAGGAAGCTAGGAGTCCTTGCTTAGGTGTGACGATACTTCATGCCGGGGCAGCTTCTTACTTTATATGAAGCGCATGTCTGGTTATCCAAACAGTATTACTGCCATATATGGGCTGGTGCTGCAAAATGCCACCTAGTAGCAACTTTGGCTTCAATGAAAAGGCGCGCTAAATGGATTATTGGTTACCGAAATTTGGATAAAACCAAACCAAACCAGCCTCAAATACAAGAGCAAAGTAGCTAGCCTTTCGATTTTCTACAGGATGCATTTCGGGGAGTGTGTGCAGGAATTGCATAATTTAATTCCTCCCACTCACCGTCGGAAACCCAGACGTTCGGCCAGTCTCCACTCTTTCGTTGTTGACTTGCCACGCATTCGAACCAAATAGTTTGCTACACCGTTTATCACGTGTACAGCAAAGCAGTGGATTAACTTGCCAGCAACTGTGTTTCCATCCGATTACAAGGTGGGTGCCTTCAAGGCAAGAGTGAATTGTATTTGCTCCGTGGAATGGGCTTGTGTTAAATCAGTGAGCTTCTCCATCTTAGGCTACATCACCACTTATCATCAGGTGGGATTGTTGTTAAGAGCTGACTTAGAATAATAATGAGCATACAGTATTAATACCCCAAAATAATAATAATACGAATAGACGACCCCATCGCCCGCTGATGTATCAGTTGAGTGACAAAACTGCTACGTCAACGCAGTCAGTCAGCGCCTTGCGAGAGGTGTGAGCGCCGTGTCTCAGCAGAATTTAGGGTGCAAAGGCCCGTTTGTGCTTATGGCCGCACACGATACGGTGCCGGGTCTGGGCGTCTCCCGTTAATGGACGCCCAAATCATGGATGATGGACAGAAAGATAGTGCGCAAAGGGCCACTACCTGGAGGTCGCCAGGGCGCGTCTGGACCTGGCACTGGACGCGACAGCATGCGGGCCGCCAGCCGAGCGCGGGGTGCTGCAAGACCACCTAGCAGCCCCCCGCATCCATCACCCCCACCAGAAGGTTTGGTGTCGGCTGGGTCTTCTCGAACTCAGCAAGCGGCACCCAACGCTGGTGGAGCACGTCGCAAACGGTGGTAACAAATAATGAGCGCAAACGCACTGCGGGCGTACTTTAGGGGGCAAAAGAGGAAGAAACTGGATTATTTACACCGCATACCCCTAAACAAGCGGAATCGGGATGTCGTGCGAGCTCTTAACCCAATACTGGTGACCTATTTGGATTAGACGGACTCAATTCAGTTTGGCGCCGCACTGGTAGTATGCTGTATTATTGGCGCCAAACTTCCCATGGCTGGACGTCCTACTCGATTAAGTAGCGCTATCCCAGCCTGGAGAAAATCGAGCACCGTATCGCAAAGGCAAGGGGCCGTTATCGGCCAACTGACAAGCTTCAGGTGGGATAATAATAGACCGAGGTTTGTGCGCACCGTTAGAATGGCCGTTTGCTGCTGAATATCACAGAAACTAATGGAGCGCATAGATGATCTGAAGCAAAAAATCGCTTCTTGGGGGAAGTGGATTCGACGATTTAGCGAGAGGTCAAGGCGGTTCAACCAGAATCGTATCTTCCAGAGTGATCAGAAGAGGCTCTATAAATCATTGGAGTGACCAGAGGTATGTGAAGCGGGCCCAGGACCGGATTAGGCTGATACTGTCGCATTTTGGCGTAGCCTGTGGTCAGAGCCCGTAAACCACAGCGAGGGCCCTTGGATGGAAGTTGTGGCGAGCCATAATGCGAGTGTTACGCCTATGGATCCTATCACCGTAACGCCGGAAGACGTGGCTGAGGCGGTCCGTAAAGCCTCGAATTGGAAAAGTCCGGGGCTGGACGGGCCGCATCATTACTGGCTGAAGGGGTTCGTAGCGTGTCACTCTGTGCTCGCCCGACAGTTTCAAGAGGTTCTCGATCAGAAGTCGCTCCCGAGCCTCTTCACTACTGGGATTACTCACTTGGTTCCTAAAGATCAGGATACTACAGACCCGAGCAAATACCGCCCCATCACGTGTTTACCCACCATATATAAGACAGTGACATTCATTTTGAGCGCGAGAATCACTCGTCACCTGGAGCTGAATCGGGTCGTGGAACTAAGGAACCACTCCTCATTGACGCAGTCATTGGCAAAGTGGTGTAACGTAACCGTCGAAACTTCTCCGCCGCCTGGATAGACTATAGAAATACAGTCGACTCAGTGCCCCATACATGGCTAAAGAGAGTCATCGAGCTGTACAAGATTGACTGTACAGTTAGTCTTCCTCGGGCAGTGTATGGGGCAGTGGAGTACGATCCTTTGTCATCTGGGCGAGCGGATGATGGCTGCGGAGAACAACATAAGGGTAAGATGGGGTATCTTCCAGGGCGATTGTCTGAGTCCAATCTGGTTCTGCCTCTCTCTGAGTACTTTACTGGAGGGCTCCAGGAGAGGATTTCAGCTTCGGAAAGGAGGTACAAAAGTGAAACACCTTTTCTATATGGATGACCTCAAATTATTCGCCTCCAGTCGCTCCCATGTTATGGAATTGCTAAACATCACTTGTGAATTTAGCAATTCTATTGGAATGGAGCTGGGGACGGATAAGTGTGCGGTCCTCCATGTTGAAAGGGGAAGGGTTGCTAACTCTGAGGGCATAGACTTATCTATGCCCGTCAACTTAGGGACCCTTTCCGAGGCTGAAATATACCGATCCCTGGGTATGTCCCATAACATCGGTATCGATGAGGCTCGTATGAAAGTCAGTTTGCGACGTGTTTTATGCACGCCTGACCAAAGTGCTTAACAACCTTTTGTCCGGTGTGAACTATGAATAAGACACCCACATATAACGGTTGGGTCATGCCTGTCCTCATGTATACCTTTGGCATACTCAGGTGGACTCAGTGTGAGTGAACTTAACGTCTTGGATAGAAAAGTCCGCGCTACCTATGACGTTTCATAGGATGCATCATCCGTGATCGTTGGTAATGAGGCTGTACTTGCTGCGAAAGCATGGTGGGCGTGGCTTTCTGAGGGCACTCACCATGCATAATCGCGAAGTGTGCAGCCTCCGTCATTACTTCCTGGCGAGATCGGATGATGTCATATTTCAGTGATAAAGGGCTTACCCCTCTATTGTATATAAAGGGCTTACCCCTCTATCCTTAGCCAACGAGCAATGGCAGGACCCCGCAGTGCTTAGCATTTCCGACCGGGAGACCGTATAGAAGGAGAAGGAGCTCCACGAGAGGTACTACAGGGCTCTATATGAGCCCTTCGTAGATTCAGTCGCCTCCCTCCACTGGCTACGTTTCGGTGACCTCTTCGAGGATACCGAGGGTTTTGTCTGCGCACTATAGGATCAGGTTATTAAGACCTACAACTATCGGAGATACATCCTAAAGGATGGCACTGTCGACGTCTGTCGAGCTTGTAGCCATCCCGGTAAGTCACTTAGGCATGTCATCTCCGGTTGTGCGGCGCTTTTTAACTCTGAGTACTTGCACAGGCACAACCCAGTAGCCAGGATTCTACACCAGGAGCTCGCTCTGAAATACGGTCTCGTGGATCTGAAACTGCTTTATTATAGGTACTTACCGGAAGCCGTGCTCGAAAATGACCGTGTCAGGCTCTACTGAGACCGGGCCATCATCACAGACAGGACTATTCTTGCGAATAAACCTGATATTGTGCTGATGGATCGGGCACAGTCAAGAATATTTTTATTTATTAACCATTCCATATGACGAGAACCTAGTGAAAGCCGAACCAGATAAGAAAATAAAATATCTGTACATGGCCCACGAGGTGACCGACACGTAGGGTGGTCTGCCGACCGAAATTATTCCTGTAGTTGTCTCTGCGAATGGGCCAATCCCAGTTAGCCTCTCGGGTCATCTGAGGTGACTGGGACTTCGTGACGGACCGCTCCGGGCTTAAATACAAAAAGCTGTACTCCACGATACCGCCCGCATCGTCCGCCGGTCCGTTTCCCTCTAACCCTCGGCCGTTTGGTCCCTGCCAAGGGCTTCCATCTGGTTGGACTTCTATTTATTTATGTATTTTT